TGGAAGTGTTTGCCAACTTCTTGGATTGGGCACTTGATCGGAACAATCTAGTTCCTTTTCTTTTTGTTTTACCTCTTTTCGTCTCATGCATTGACGCACAAACTCTCTGGACAGTTTATAATCACTGTCCGTTAATTTTGCCTGCCTCCAGCAAACAGTGCTCCAACCGGCAATGCCTACAGTTTCCGAGACTGATGTGGCCAAAGTTGACAACGCAAATGCCACGGACCCCGACGATACTGAGCCAATTTCTCTGGCAGTTTCGGAGGAACTAATTGACTTGCCCTCGCCAGAACAGTCTCTTTCCACTGAACCCACTCTTAGGGGCACGATACTATCACCCAAGGAACGGCCATTCAAGTCTCGTCGAAGCAGCAAAACTGTGGCTGGAGGTACGTACTCACTCAGCTACCGACTTAAAAACACAGTAGTTATTTTCCCAATACAATCTTTTTTAAATTCTTCCTGGTGACATGAGTGTTCTGGTATGCGTGTCGGCATGTTTCTTTGATGCTTATTAAGGATGTATAATGAAAGAAGTTGTAATAAAGTGTCTCCTAAGTGAATCCCAAGGCAGAGCGGGACGGATGAGTTCCAAAAAAGAAGAAGATACGAACACTGGAACAAGAGTTTTATTTTCCTGACGTTTCAGATTCCGTCTGTTGTAACGGTAGCCAAGGCCGTGATGTCACCGCCTAAGTTCGTCCTGCGTGAGCCCCGTAGGAAGAACACGACAAGAACGGGACGAAAGCAGAAGTATTTGAGTGTAATGGGTACAATATATTTGGGACAACAAACGCGTGTAACACGATGTTTATCGAGCCAATCAGCTTCTCTACTGGCGTAGGCGCTGGTACGATTGGCTGGTTACTAACGGCCGACTGTAGCCTGAATTTTAAATTATTGATTGATTGCCTGTCAGTATGTTTCACCGCCTGTAGGCCGATCGATAGCCTGTCGTGAACGCGCCTCGCGCTTGCATGTTATCTGCCTGTTAGGTTGTTCGGTAGGCTCGCCCTTACATCATCGAGAAACCTTAATCATAGGTAATTGTAGGATAGTCTGAGACATGCGCCGATAGGGGTGATACATGCATAGATTGCACGGTATTTATAGTTCGTAGTGGTCAGTCGCGTGCGTACTATAATTATCAGCTCCGGTAGCCTCCGTTGCGGGGTCTAAATTGGTGTGGTGATGGCTGGACACTTCGTGTTGGACTCATTAATTGCCGCGATTTCCTTGTCCGGCGATAATATTTGTCCAATTGAACGTTCCTGCCGCTTTATTGTGTTCTAAGGCATTTTATGGGGCGTTTGTATAGTGTTGAGAGAACACGCAATTTTTTCACAGCCTTCTTGTTAATACTGACTATAGAGCATATTCTTAAATGACCTACAAACACCTTAAGTATTGCCGGCAAAGACAAGGGAGATTGGAATGGCCATTTCTGACTTATTAGTGGTCATCAGCCAGTCATACGTAGACTCAAATAATGTTGTAACGGTGGCCAAGGCTGTGATATTCGTCGTCTAACTACGCCTCGTGTGAGTCCCCAAGGAAGAACACAACAAGAAGTGTGCAGAAAGCAGAAGTCTTCGGGCAAACC